ACCACTGGATCAGGAGCATCGGGCTGCTTGCACATTATCCATGGCACTCCGGTCTGAAGCCCTACCGCCATTTGAGCTGCCCACTTGACGTACGATGCTCCTTTCTCATGGAAAGATGCCTCCACGTTTCCATACTCGTTCTCTATCTATAAGAAGAAAACCACCAAGAACTCAAACAAATAAACATATTCACATCATAATAAGAAGCTACCAGATTCCAGGCAACCATAATTTTATACCATCTGAAGGCCGAATTTGAGACATAACCATTTATAGGTTACTTTTAATTAAATATTTTTGATAATTTAAGAGTTATATATGACTTATGTATAATGTTTAATCTCTCTATTTCATAATAAGTGTCATTCTAACATTTTTTCATTATTATAAAAAAAAAGTCACTTTACAATTTCAATGCAAATTATATTTACTTTCAACTGAAAATTAATTGAAATCTGCATTGATTTTATAAATAATTTTATTTATTTTAAATACTATTAGTGAGAGAGGTATAATTAATAACATCGTACATATTTAAACAAAATACATATTTAAACAAAAGGCTAATCTAGACACTTTATTATGATCTTCAAAGTGTTGCCCCAGCTCATTTCACTAGTTTCAAAGTCAGTGGTCATAATTTAGTTTGTATTACTAAGCACTGGTACGGTTTATTCTAATTCTGCTTTTCTTGTTCGGTTTGATTATGAACACTAATGAAGTTAATTACCTGGGAAAGAATGATCGGACCTCCTTGAGAAGCATATAAGCCCTCTGATTTCATCAAATTTACGATCTTACTGGTGAATCTTTGCATGTGGAATTTGAATGGCTCGTTGTCGGTTCGGTATACCATGCCGGGTACATCCCGCAACCAAAATGGCAATCCTCTGGTTAACCAAATGTGCATGTTGTCAAAAGTATTAAACAAAAATTTCAACGTTAACTAAAAAATTGTTTGAATTTATGTGTAGTACCCATAATTCCATTCAGCTTCGATGAAGGGTCCAATACGTAGACAGACATAGAGACCTTGTGATCTTATTTCTTTAATAAACTTCACCAAATCGTTTCTTCCACTAAAATCATACTGCAATATTCATTTTAATCCAAGAAACTATATTAAATTATTTTAGCAAAGGAAAAATAACTTAATGTTAGTTTGTTATATAAAAAGTAAATTAAGAAAGAAAAAAATTGAAAAGGGTTTGCTATAAATTATAAAATTTATAGAGATAAATTAGTAAATGGACCAACCTGTCCGAGCTTAGGCTCATGGAGGTTCCAGAAAACGTACGTTTGGATCACATCGATGCCTCCTTCCTTTGTCTTCTTTATCAGAGACGGCCACATCTGCAGAAACAAAGATAATCATAATATTGAAATTAGTGACAAAACCGATTACTCAAATAATTGAAAAGTTAATGCAGAGGGACTAAGAGTGGCTGTCTTTGGATCCCCACTGATTAGATATTTTAATGACATAAAATGTATTCACGGGATTGTGTTTGAAGTTGTCAAAGACCTAATGATAATAAGGCTCCGAAAAATGATCATCACATGTAGTAAACTATTGTTAATTATGTTACTTATGTAAGTTAACAACAAAAAGTTATTGTTATGTATTTTGACCTTTTATTGGTATGATTAGTTTATTCATTTATTCAATCAATTTTGTTTTACTGATCAAAATCACGAGAAGAACATTAAATAAAGCACGAGAATGGATATCTGTATAGGATTATAAATGAATTAATTCTCAACTTCTAATCTATTAAATGATAATCTTAGAAGTACAAAAGGTCAAAGTAGACAATGACAACCTATTAGGAAGAATCTATATAAAAAAAAAAACAGAAAGTGTCGTTTCTGAGACCCGTGACTTCCCATTTTCAGTAATGTCAAAGAGTCAAAGATGTTGTGTTAGATGAAATCTGTGTCTTAATCTTGAATCTTGATAGTGAAACTTAATAGATAAACCTTCTGAGTTGTGAACCATACAATAAAATAATTTATAAAATAATACTTGACAGATCAATTTCGCCTCACTACGTAATGCATGTCTTTTTCGTTTTTTAATATTATTTATGTAAGTAACCTTTTCATTAAAATATCAAAACTAGTTATCACGTACACGGCATAAACTTGTGGTTATTGTTTTCCTAACTACTGATGTCGTGCTTAAAATCAATTTCCACTAGTTTCATTTTTCAATCATCAAACCAAAATTACCAAAAACTAAATATATCTTAGTTTCCTTTTAAAAAAGTTTGATGTAAAAAAAAGGAAAGAGTTTCTCAGCAAGACAAAGAACATGAAAAGCAAAATATATAAAATAAAAAGAGTTTCTCAGGCAAGACAAAGAACATGAAAAGCGAGAACACTTTAAGCAACCATAACTAGCAATTCATTTTTTTCAAGCAACCTCTGCATATAATCTAAGATCTTATTAATTTCATATATAGTATATCCAAAACCAAAGCACTTGATTCGTTTTGTCATATATATACTTTGATATCAGAGTTTTGGCGTATTATATCAATAAACACACAAGTTCTGGTCCATCCATTTTTTTTTACGACCTACCATTATTGCCAAAATGTGATATACATAGATCATATTACGACATTTAGTTTAATTATATGCAGTCTTATCTTATATTATACATATAAAATGAAAAAATATTTACCTCAGGTGTGCTGCGAGGATAATGAATAGAACCGGAGAAGAGAAGTTTCCTCTGTCCATCGATAATCAAAGACCGTCCGTCGTATGTTACTCCCTTCTCCGCCGTATCACCGCCGGCGGCAGCTGTGCAGAGAACAACAACCATCGCCACAAGAATCCAACACGACGCGACCCGACCCGACATAATGTTCTTTCTCATCATCCTCTTTGATGCTTTTCTATTTACTGATTACTGTCTGAACATGTGTTTATATATATATATACACACGCATCAAACATGTGGGCGTACGTATTAACGCATTACATAATTCTAAACACACAAATACAGCTTGACTAAAATGCCCTGCTCATAAGAATAACCTTTTGTTTATTTTTAGTATGGTATCTTTTCTTTTTGTCAAGGGATGGTAACAGATCAACCAAAGTAGCTAGTCTTTAGGTTTTCTAGATTTTTACAGATCATAGTTTACATACATGTGCGAACCTTATAAAGTAAGCAATCCCCATATACATCTTATATAAATCACTAATGTATATGTAGCCTTAAGACTAGCTATTTGGTGATTATGTAATTTAGAAAGTAAAACTTAAAATCTATATGAACTACAGTAAAACCTCTATAAATTAATAATGTTGGGATTTTGAAATTTTATTAATTTATGGAGATATTTATTTACAAAAGTTTCCTTATTTAGATTTTTTCATTGTTTTTCCGATTTTATTTATAAAATCATTTTTAGCATATGTATATTATTTAAACTTTAGAAGTTTGACTTTTATATTATTTAGTGTATATTTTTATGTTCATAGAATTGTTACAAGGTTTTCGATATAATTTAACTAAATATTATCAAAATATATTGAAATGTTTAAAAAATAAAATTATTTTTATAGTAAAAATAAAACCCTAACTAAATATATCAAATTATAATAAAATGTTTAAAAAAGTGTTTTTATAGAAAATATAAAACCAACAATATAATGTTAAATTGTACATATATAAAATTATATATAGCTAGATTATTAATTTATGATTTTAATGGGATCATATATTTATATGGCAGTTCTAAAAATATTATTATCTTATTATTTTATCGATTTGTGTCATATTTTACACTGGCCCAAGTTGAGACCGGTGAAATTTATTAATTTATAGAGATTATTAATTTATAGAGGATTAATTTATAGAGGTTCTACTGTATGTATAAAATTTAACATGAAGATCATAAGCATTGTTGATTTGTGCTCATTGCCAACATTTCTTGATTTGATTAAGGTCATCGGTGGATCATGTGAGCCAAATAAAAGAAGTGGCTATCACTAGTAAATAGAGGGTAATTTCGTCAATACGCAGAACTTATGGAAAAGTTGAAGCCCAGATAAGATTCAGGGTTTAGCGTATACGTCACAGAAAGTGGAACTTGGAAGACAGGACTTAACCCCCCAACACAGCCTTCACGTTAAGATAAAAGTGGCCTGGTCTCAAGTTTTTTTGTCTCAAGGCCTTTATATTGGGCTTCTGGGTGCTTTAGCTACACATTAAAAATATATATATTTTAGTTTTTAAATATCTTTCTACTAATCCATTAACAAAGTTCGAGAAACGTTACTATTACCGTATCAAATGAACACTACCTCTTTGGCATTAAATGTTGGTTAATTTCTTATCTTACTTAATTTTGATGAACATGTTACATGTTATTCATGCAATGATTTAATATTGTTTCTCTGCTTAAAAGCCTATTAGAGAATCCATTATCAGTTCAACTGTATCACAAAATTAGTTGCTAACTACTACTACTAAACAATATTCTTCAATTATAAATTAATAAAACATGTTTTATACTAAAGTGTGGTTTAATGTGGGAGTGTTAGTCAAAGAAGAAACTGAAACTGTCGATAATCGGCACTTTACATATGCCGCCGTGCGACTAAGATGACGTCATTCCAGTGACCTACGCGATGAGATAACATATTACTATTCCAGTGCGGTGAGGCGCACCGTAACAGTCTCCCTACTCCACTCACAATTCAGGATTATACATATTGACCAGAGGACAACGTGCACAAGCATACACCGCGTAGCAGCAGATAACGGTTCGTGCGGATGACGGAAGCAATGACATCATAATCGATACCCCCAATTATTCCTTCCAACGTGTGGCTGCGCAGTCAACGTTTTGAAGAGAAAGCAAGTTGGTTCTGTCACACGTGTCAGAAAAACACACGGACACGTGTGATTCATGAACCTCTTTTCTATAAAAGCTCATGGACTCACTCTCTTCTCCTCCTTGATTACTTAAGAAAACCAACAAAATGAAGGCGGAGCTAAATTTACCGGCGGGATTCCGATTTCACCCCACGGACGAAGAGCTAGTTAAGTTCTATCTCTGCCGGAGATGCGCATCGGAGCCGATAACCGTTCCGGTCATCGCCGAGATTGATCTTTACAAGTTCAATCCATGGGAGCTTCCAGGTTATTACACGACCTGTACAAGTTCTTAGTTCTGTATTAACTTATTTTACATTTTACCTAAAAAAAAGAATATATATTAATTTTATTGATTTTAAAGCCTTTTTATCTGAATAAATTTAACATTCTTTCCAAAAAAAAATATTAAGTTTATTGGTTTTTAAATAAAAATTCGATATTTTTTATATGAATAATTTTAACATTCTTTTGACAAAAAAAATATTAAGTTTATTGGTTTTTAAATAAAAATTGGATATTTCTCGTTCAGACAAGGCGTTGTACGGAGAGAAAGAATGGTACTTCTTCTCACACCGAGACAGGAAATACCCAAACGGTTCACGACCAAACCGGGCAGCAGGAACCGGTTATTGGAAAGCGACGGGAGCTGATAAACCGATCGGTAAACCGAAGACGTTAGGGATAAAGAAAGCGCTCGTCTTCTACGCAGGGAAAGCTCCGAGAGGTGTGAAGACGAATTGGATCATGCACGAGTATCGTCTCGCTAATGTTGACCGGTCTGCTTCTTCGTCGAACAAGAAGAACAACTTGAGAGTACGTAATGGGCTATAATTGGGCTTTAAATGGGCCGTCATTTCACGCTTTATTAACTTAATTGGGCTTTAAATGGGCCGTCTTTTCACGCTTTATTAACTTAATTGGGCTCTAAATGGGCCGTGACGTCACGCTTTATTAACTGTCGTAGGATATTTGTCTGAATGGTGTGATTAAATGGGTTTTGTCGGAATATTTTTTTGCAGCTTGATGATTGGGTGTTATGTCGGATTTATAATAAAAAGGGAACGATGGAGAAGTATTATCCATCTGATGAGAAAGAGACGGTGGTGATGACTAGTGCTACTACGACGTCGGTTTCGAAATGCTCGAGTCACGTGATATCACCGGACGTCACGTGTTCCGAGGTTCAGAGCGAGTCTAAATGGGTTGATGATCTTGAGGAAGCGTTTGATGGGTTTGACACGTCAATGTTTGGTTCCTTATTGCAAAATGACCCGTTTGTCCCTCAGTTTCTGTATCAGTCTGAATACACCACTATGTTTGAAGACCCGCCGGAGCAGAAACCGTTCTTGAACTGGAGTTTTGCTCCTCAGGGGTAAAGTTGTAAAAAGAACATAAAGTTTGGAGCTTCTTTAACCACACCGGAGGAGAACCCGGTGTCGGATCCTGACCCGGAAACCAAGATGGGTCAACTTCAGAGAGGGTGTCTAGTGTCTACTGGTCAATGACTCATCAGCAAGATTCAATTATTTTGTTCTGTTTAATGTCTAAAGATAATGGAAGTAGATACTAGGAACTGTAAAAACAACAATGACAAATCACATGTATTCATCATAATCAATGAGAAGGAGCTTATTTTTCTTTTTGATGAAACAAATGTACATTTTTATATCTCAATAGAAAATTACAAAGAGTAGAGAGAGTAAGAAAAGGAGAGAGATGATGGTGAGAAGATGGATTCAAGAGTTATTGTGAGAAGAAGAACGAGAAGCCCAAATACCAAACACAAGAAACCAGAAGATGAATAAGATTGCCCAGTACCGTGCAGGACCATACTTGATTCTAGTCAGCACAACCTGTTTTCATGTTTTTTTTAAGATTAGCAAATAGGAAAGACATGTAATATCTGTAAAAAAAAAGGAGATGAGTTTACTTACAAATCTGAAGAAGATGACTATTATTAAAGCACATAGACCACCAAGAAGTATATGTAGTCCACTCCTAGCAGTTTCCTGCACCAATCAAAACAACCATTAATCAACAAACTAATCATATTCATATATTCACTCAAGCAAATTAAAAAATAGCTAAATATTTAATTTTATTATTGTTTTTCTTTAATTATTAAATATTTTATTGCATTAATTTTTCTCTTAATTTATATATTGGTAAAAAAGATTAATGATACAAATTGCATTAAAATCCTAAAAAGACTACACTACCAACTTAGAGACACAGTTTGATTGATGACATACCTTTCCAACACGAGGAGCAATGATCCAAACCAAAGTAACAGTGAGTAAACCAGTAGCAAGTAGAATCCCAGTACCTTCCACAGCCCATTTAGTTGCACGGTTCTCCATAGGCAAGACCCCAAAGTTCACAGCACCTAAAGGTTGTTCAGACATAGCCTGAGAAGCTGCTGCAGCAGAGCTACTGTTATTATTGTTGTTGTTCAAGGCATGTGGACCAAACCATGAAGATACATCACTAAGTCTTTGCCTTCTAATACCACCAGTTTCATCTGTATCTACGGTCGAATCTCCTCCATCAACTCTTAGGGCCGTGTGATCTCTCAAGGCAATAACCACTTTATTGAAATCAGCAGTTTTAATATTCTCAGCAGCAATCCCACAGATTTCACATACTGTAGATCCATGGTTGAGAAACCATTTGAGAGCACAAGCGTAGTGTACCAAAGCAAGCTCGTTTTTGCAAGAGCATCCAAGTTCAAGCAACCGATCATGATGCTGCAGGATTCCCATTTCTATATCAATGGAACTCTTCTGCTCAGCCTCTGTAGCTTTGCTGACATCACCATCATCATAATTTTCGTCTTCATTGGTTTTATGAGGTTGTGGAATGGTGGGAGTGATCCCTAAGAACCCTAAGGCAGCATCTCCTCGTTTGTCGGATTCTGCAGAGTGGCATACACGACATGTTGGTAAACCTGAGTCACTGTCTGTGCTGTAACGCGCCTTGGATGGTAGTTCATCGGTCTTGAGGGGTGGACAATCGTTATCATTGACTCCACAGTTTGCTGTCTCTAACTGATTCTCTTTACCCATCAAGCCAGGAATAGAAAAAAATCTTGTCTCTTCACAAAAAGTTAAGGTAGATGTTCAACTCCTAAGAATTATCTACTTTATAGACATTGATAAGACAGCTCAAGATCCAAATAAAACAAAAGGACCTCACTGAAACTTAGTATTACACTATAGAATCAAGCTGGAAGAGAAACAATCTGCAAGAGAGAGATGGCCACTTTTGCATTTCTTTCAAAAGAGCTCCTGCAGTGAAAACATTAAAAGATGTCATAAACATAAAATGGAACAAGCTATATATCACTTTAGCAAGAATGTAGAAAGGCAAACAAAATAGTTTTAAAAAAAAGAATCCAAGCTTGCACTCACAAGGAACAATTCATAAACTAATGGTGATAAAGCAGCTTAAAACCTTCATTAATGATTAAGGTATCATGCTTAAAGTGAGAATGTGATACTTAAGAATGTACCATTTATAATCAGTAAAATCACAACCATATATCAAACCAACCTTTCAGATATTAGAAGAGCCAAAACATGCTGAGACCAATTCAAAACAAGAGGAAAGTGACCAAAAGACATGACAATATGATGTCTGAAACCATTATAATTTTATCATTCAGGTGGTAACTGAGCAGGATAGTTTCAGCAACTCCAAACGAAAGAAACCACTTACAAGTAAATAAACAAATTATAATATATACAGAAACAGATTAAAGCAGCCACTGATTTTTTTTTTTTTTTTTTTAACATAAGTAGATTAAGCAACTATTACTCCACTCGGTTAACTGAAGCCGCATGAATCAGCCATTACTTTATATTTAGTTTAAACATAAGCAGATTTAAGCAGCCATTAACTCAATTTTTTTTTTTTTTAAATAAAATCTCTACCAAATCTCCACCACTGATTTTAATGGAAAGACACACTTAAATGAAAAAGACAAGAAACAGCAGTTTCGTTCTCTCATGAACTCATGAGCCACCGACTAAAAACAGAAGACATACATCAAGATCTAAACTATATATGCAAAATGAGAGATCAGCCACATGCAAATCTGAGCATTTCTAGATCAACAAAAGATGAATCTAAAGAGTTTTGAGTGAGCAAACCTCTGCTAAATCTGGGCAAGCGAAAAAAGTTAGAACCTTTAGAAAAACCAAACTCTGTTCCTCGAGTTCAGGGGATTAGGTAACAGGATGTGTGTCTGGGGAATGCACTTCGTCTTTCTTTTTGAGCTTAAAAGACGTTCAGATTCGAAAAGAGTTCTTCCCACTATACATGGTGCGGAGAGCTGAGTGGTTTTTTTTATTAAGATTCTTTTTTTTTTTTTTTCTTTTCAATATTTATAACGTTTTTATTCGAGAAAACAAAACTGTCCATGTTTCTCAAAGAAAACGATCATGATAAGTAATAAATGATATCTATTTTTTTGGGATTGAAATATTAGTTTATAATTTTTGAAAAAAATCTTGACTTCATATTTTATAACCGTTTTGTTTTTTTTCTCAAATAGTTTGAATAGATAATGTAATCGTCCTAGTCAATGTATTTATATTTTCTTAAAAATATAAATTATGTTGGCTAAAAATCCCTTATAATCTAGAATACTTAGAAAAAAAAAACTAATTTTGTATTAAAACATCCATGCTTTGATTGTTTTCTTTTTTGGACAAAAAGGCTTTGAAATTCTTTCTGATGTGGTGTACATAATTAGAAATAAAAATCTCAATATACACAAAGAATTATATGGATAAATATAACATAAAATGATGGCTCTCTTCGGCTAATAATTTTCTCTTGAATATTCTCTGCTATGAAATTTTAAAATATTATGTTATTTTCTGTATGTATATTTCTTTTGGTCACAGGATGGATGTATATGAGCTTATTTATCCAATTTTTAAAAAGTCGACATAATTATGAATATAACATGACAAATCATTAAAAAGCTAGAAACTGTTGTGAAGAATAATGAAATCTGTGTCTTATTCATGATTTAGAGGTTCCATATATATATGGGATACAAGAACAAGATAAATGGAAAACATCCAATTCCTAAAGTAACAAGGAATTGGAAATACATAGAAAAGTAAAAGGGAACCAGCCGCCTAGACTATTGGGTCACACGACCATTGGGCTGGTCCTAATCTATCTAATGGTTATGGCCCATCCACTAAACACTTCATAACACTCCCCCTTGGATGCCATAACCGTATGGGCTTGTACCATGCTTAATGTTGCCTCGTTAAAACCTTATCTAGGAAAACCAAAAACCCAAGGTGGGAAAAATGGAAACCTCAGACAAGGAAAAAGAGTACAACACATGATACTCCCCCTGATGAATGCA